ATCCTTCTCTCCCTCTTCATCCACATCTTCATCCTCTCCATCGTCTTCTTCTTCCTCAAACAAAACGCCTCTGGTTGCATTGACTGCATTGACTACATCCTCAATGATTCCTTCAGAATCCTCTTCATCCTCCTCATCGTCATCCTCTTCCTCCCCCGCTTCTCCCGTTCCTTGGTTGACTCTTGATAGCACGAGACGCTTTGGTCGTTTCTTGCTCCGTCGAGACCGATTACTGGATACGTGGCTAGGCATCGCAGCTGAGATGATAGAAGTAGACTGGTGTCGTAGTTTCCTGGAGGCGGGTCGCTTGTTGCCAAGTCTGCGTAGACGAGTGACGGAGTGCGGTTGCAGTTGGCAAGATGTCATCTGACCTGGCTGGTTGGAACCACTCTCGGAGCTGGGCAGAAGGCAAGTCACTTCAGTAAGCGAATTGAATCCTGTGCCAGAAAAGTCGGGCTTTATCGAAATGCGAGAAAATAAATAGCGATGGGTGAAGTGACTGGTATCATAATTATAAATAAGAGAAAAAACAATCTTTATGTGAAATATAGACTTGAGAAAATATACTAAAGGACTTACGCAAAATAACTTCAGAAATGCAAGCTGCTAGACAGCCTAAGCTTAAATTGTAATGAGTAGATTTATTCGCCTTTTTTGTGGCTAATTCCCTTCCTTTGTCTCGATCTGACCTTTTTTAACAAGTTGATCGGATCCGAAGAACGTAACTAGTATCGATAATGTCATATGAAAATTAGAGGTCAATTTGTTTACCATGAATATTATTATATGTCCCGACGACAGCAATGCTAACTAGGCAAGCCATGGAAGGCCCTGAAAGATAGCTCGTAAAGTACAATCAGAATTTGATTTTTAGTATTCTCCTTCATCATGTATATCCTGCATTCCAATAATTTCCCGATCCTGATTCTGGCTTTATTCTATCTATAGTAAGTTGGCTGTCTTATATCATCACCTTTATTTTGATGAATATTGATGTAAAAATATTTTAGAGTTTTTAAGCGGTGTTCTACTTATTAAGAAAAAATTATTCTCATAGACTTCCCTATAGTTGCGAAACAACTCAAGTTCATGTCGGAACAGCATTAATAAATGCATTGACAAGCTGAATATTAATCGCTGAACACTACCTAGGTATGTACAGGACAGTGAAATTCGGTTTCAAATAAGAGCTTTCATGATTATTATCAATTAACCACTGATTGACTGCTTCACCTAAATTTTACAAAGGAAATTTTGGTAAACTTTGCGAATGACTTATCCTGAAAAAAAACAAGTAAAAATAATAGCACTAAATGGATAAGTAGATAAAGAAGACTATTTGACTCGACAGTAGTAAGTAATTTGACATGTAAATCCAATGAGAAGGTTCAAAGTAAGTTTATTAAGAGGTGCTTGATAGAACCTTAATGAGAATCTAAAGCTTATAGGATAACAACAGCGAGAAATATACCAAGAATGCATGTGTTAAATGCTATAAAAAATGACCAATCAGAGAAAACATGACTAATAAAGGAACCTCTGTAAAAGCATGCTAACAATATGGCACATTTCTTATGAGATTGTAAATAATTCAGCAAATAACTAGTATGCGACGGAAAGTTATAAGAATGAAGAGCTTACTGTGTGATGCAGATAAACCTGGTGAATAGGACTAGAGAACTGTGATTGCGTCCCTTGCTGTTGTTCTCGTGGTTGGTGTGATGATAAAGTAAAGTGTTGTGGTTGACTCGACAACTGACGCTGCTGTTGATGGTGATGATGCTGCTGGGGAGCCTGAACATGTCGTTGCTGCATCATCACTACTTGCTCCTCAGAAAGGGTTATGTGAGAGCCTAAGTGAGAGCCTGAAGCAGAGGTGGTCGCTGTAGATCCAGAAACGAGGTTCACATCGGAGAGATTAAAATGGTTACCAGCTATAGCAATTTGCTGTGAGTCTGGCGTTGGTGCTAGTGTCAGAGGCATAAACCGGTAAATAAAGCAAGTAGAGCTAACGTAATGATACTGATAGATTGTTGTAACAGTTAATGAAAATATCTAAATCAAAAGGTAATATTCGGCATCGGGGGCGTAATAATTGTCATAATTCTAAAGTCAAATTATTTGTGGTGGATCAACAACAACAATATGTGGCAGTAGTGAGTAAGAGGCTACCTGCTAGTAGAAAAGGGCTGCTGGAGGCACTGTTAGTTGTATGTGAGGTCATAATGGGTGAGAAGGTTGAGAACTCGCCAGTGATGCCACTTGAAGCAGCCGAAGTGGTAGTAAGGAGGGAGGTCGGCTGAAGCATACCATGAGTATCGAGAGGACCTAAACAGGACAGCTGTTGGTGGTGTTGATGCTGCATTGAAGAAAGTGATGACGACGACGAAGTTGTTGGTATTTGTAGTTGTTGTTGCTGTTGCTGTTGAAGCAAGTGATGTTGCAACTGATTAGCCCGGCAGCCCAAGTTGGTGTCGTTAGAGGTTGTATGGAAAGTAGAAAGGTGATTCTGAGGGAGAAGGGTGAAGTCCCTTGATTGTGCATGATGGTGGTGGTGCTGTTGAGATAACTAATGTTTTAAGTAGGTGTATATGTTTGAGAGCAGATCCAGTGAAGTATAAAAATAGAAAATAAAATAAAATTCTGATTATGGCACATTAATTTTTAAATATACGCAAACATAACCCATAGTAGTAAATATAAGTTATAAAACAAAGCTTTTTTCCTAGTAGGTTGATTAAAGGGCCTGAGCGAAGTCTAAAGTGCTATTCTCTCCTAAATAAAGATGGCAAAAGGACTACCAAAATAAATCTGACGACAACATGCAAGCCAAATAAATAATACTACTTGACTTTTAGAGAAATCAGTGGCAGTAATAATACACAATTATCAAATTCTTTAAAGGCTAACATTAGTCTTTGATTGAAACAGCTAACAATATTTTTCACCAAATGTTAAATAGCCTACTGTAATATTGCTTGCACACTCAGCTGCTCTTGATAATTTGTAATGCAGGCCCATTTTTACTTGCGTGATATGGGGAAATACCTGGCCTTATTTGAAAGTCGCATCTTCCCTGTAACTCAATGGTACTCGTGATAATGTGGCGTAGTGATTAACGTGTCTTGATTACACGCTGTATTGTCATGGTTTGAGTCCCGCTGGGATGTTGATAAGACCAATGCAAGGTCGAAACTGCAGTCCACCCTGGATAATAATTATTTTTAGGAAAGCAAGGCTATGCGAAATTAAATGGAAACGTCAGCTCTATTTATATCATTGTGGGAAAATTAAAATACCAGTCCTTCATCACCTTAAACAAAATAGGGTTAATACATCTCATATAACTGGCATTATTAGTAGTCTCGAAGCTCTATTCATAAACGAATAATGATTTGATCGTAGGTATCAAGACCAAGATGGTGTGGCCTTTTGTATGGTCGCGTTCTTTTTTCTTTTTATAGTAGTTGTTTGACCTTGTTTCCACAACTTGGTCATACAGGCAGGAAGACCTACGATTCCAATGAAGCGTCTGGGAATGTACCAAGTCCATGGTCCGAATCTGAGCATTATGATGCATACTATGGACTCCGGACAAGGTGCATTCCTCTAGGTTTCACTGCTAATATGACCAAGTTGCGAAAATAAGGAAAAATAACTTAACAGAATTTAGCGGAAGCATATATTGCAGAGGAGTGATATAGGATGTAAGATTTACAGTAATTTGGCTTGCTAGTTTTATTCTAAGTGTCTGTATTCATAATAGTGTACTGTTAAAAGTAGGGAATGAAGGTGAATGAAGAGTGTTACTCCCAAAATAAGTTAATTCTATCGAGGCAGCAACAAAGCAGTGTGACAACTCAGAGGTGGAAAACTTAATGTTCGCACTTCATTCTGATCAATCCAATTGTTCTGTTGGTATCCATCCGTTGTTTGCTCAAGTTGGTTTGATGGCGATGATGGTCGCAGGCCTTGGCAGATATCGCTCTTGCCAGAGGTAGTCGCCACAGTGCTGCCAACGATATTATTACTATTAACACTGTTCAATGTGTTTGCAGATGTGCTGGGGGAGATTTCATTTGTGACAGTGGCACTGGTGTCACAAGGTGTGGTGGTGATGAGGATGGCCGTGGTCGCAGAGGTCGCAATAGTATTGGGGGTAGTAGTCGCAGATTCGGAAGTAACAGCAACTGTAGAAGACGACATTGATGGAGAAGATTCAAAGGGCTCAGGCTTAGTTGTCACATTGAAGGCAAGAAGAGGGTCACATGCAAGTGGTAGATAGTTCATCTGGCTTGAGTTCGCTTGAGAGAGCTTAATATGGAGGAAAAAATGGATTATAAGGGAATGTATGGAAAGTATAAATAAATGATCCTAAATACCAAAAATATGTGCGAATTTTAAAAGTAAGCAATTATCACACATGCAAGTAAAGAGAATTGTCGAATCTGCACGATATTAGGAGATTTTTAAAATATTCATCAATAGTCTATAAAATAGGTTGCTGAAACCAAAACAATGGCTAATCCGTGTATTTTTAATTTCGGTTTGTCGTGAAAGGTTGGGAATAAGATGGTAAGTTGGAATCAACTGAATAAAGGGGCTGTGTAAGAGTTGAATAAAGAGTGTCACTCTCAAAACGATGATTTAATTAATTTTATCGAAGCAGCATCAAAGCATTCTGATAAAGGTAATGGGAAAAATAGTCGATTATTTATATAAAAGATTGGTTCTTTAGATACTCTTATTTATCTCAATTTATTATGCAATTGCTATCGGTATTAATAAAAATTGCTTATTTTGAAGCTAACATTGAAGCTAATCTGGACATAAAAAAGTAAGAGCCTATATCCGGCATAACCAATTTTATGAAACATTTTACACGATCAAAGTGCACCTAAAATGAACTCAAACGCAAGTCACGAAGTGCAGTAGAAAGAATAGCGCAAGTGAGGTAATTCTGTTTAGCATAAGTCTGATTTTATGCTGGACCCGTCTAGTTCAGCAGAGCCGACTGTTGAAAAATGATATCGGCTATGGTCAAATATGGTTTTTCAGAGCTATTAAATTACACGAATAACTTATGTAAGAAACTCGTGTATAGAAAAAACAAAAGAAGAAGGCCATTTTTCAGAATTCTTCTTTGGTTTGATGAATTTATGTTAAAAATTTGGACTAAACGAATGGTATATCTCT